ATCAGACTAAACTGACATAACTAAATGCAATGCGTGACCTTGAATTGGAAAAAATAAAGGATGTCATAGAAGAACTGGGGAACTGTGACTGGTGACTGTACATTCAAGAATACTATTGTATTCATTTTAGTGTCTTTGTGTTTTCTTTTCTTTTGGGGGGTGGGCAGAGTAAATATAGATTTATTAAAGAAAACTCCTGAGAGTGGTAGGGGCTTCAAGGACGAGTGCCCTTAGTGTCCTGATTTTGATAGCTGTGCCATTATGTAATAGGCTTCTAATGGTCTTGTTCTTAGGAAATACACAGAGCAACTAGGGGCAAAAGGGCCTGATTTTCCCATTTTAGACCCAAATTGTTCAGAAAGGATAGAGTAAATGGAATAAATACAAACAACTGGTGGACCTGGGGAAAAGAGTACAGAGTCCCTTCTACTATTCTTGCAACTTTTCTGAATATGTGAAATGATATAAAATTGAAAATTCCAAAAACAAGATGAAATAAACAAACAAAGGGCAAAAAAGGAAGAGCTCTTTCCAATGGCTTCTCATCGCATTCAGGGATAAATTCTCACCATGACCTAGAAGGCTCTACCACCTTCCACACACTCCCCTCTCTGATCTTACTTTTTACCACTCTAGCACTTGTGACCTCCCTTCCAGTCTGGCCACTTGCTGCTCCTGTTCCCTCGGCAATCCACCTCAAGGCTTTCAGCTAGCAGCACCTACTGCTGCTCTTCAGGGATCCTCACAGCCCTCTCACCTCTTAAATCTCTTAAGTTTTTCCATGATGAGACTTTCCATAATTAGGATTCTCACCCTCTGTTCCCCTTCTCTGCCTTTCCTCCATAGCACTTACCATCTGCCAAATAGTGCATTGTGTAATGTACACTGGCTGTTTCCCCCATAAGGACAGAGCTCATGGCCTGTTTTGCTTGGAGCTGTTTCCACAGGGCCTAGAACAGAGCATGGTATACATCCTATAAAGACATGCTGAAGACTGATGGAATGACAGGTAGGGTCAAGCTTTTGCAGTCAGGGTTTTTTTTTTTTCTTCAGTCTTTTTGAGACAGGGTCTCATTGTAGCCCCAGCTGTTTTGGAACTCACTATGTAGACCAGGCTGCTCTTGAACTCACAGAGATCTGTTTGCCTCTGCCTCCCAAGTGCTGGGACTACAGGCGAGCACCACCAGTCAGGCCCTATAGTCAGGGGTTTTAAATCTTCTAAATTTCATTCTCAACGACAACTTGCCCAAAACAAACAAACAAACAAACAAAAAAAAAAAAAAGGAAAAAGAAAAAAGATGCTCTCTCCTTGTAACCTCTATTCTATCTGGGTCTGTGTGATTCCCTCTCTTTAATTTCGATACCCAAGTTAACAGAGTGGGTCCACAAGAGTTTGCCTGGGAACCTAGAAATCTTTCGACTATGGTATTGCTTTGGTCTCTTACTTTCTAACCTTTAAGCCTTCAGGAACCAACCCTTCAGGAACCCCCTACCCAAGATGCAGGGTATTTCAGAAAGCCAACTTTTTCCTTTGAAGAACTGAAGGGGAAGGACAGGAGCCATGGAACCCAGGCCTGGAGAGATGGTGCCTCAGGAGAGGGGAAGCTAGGACACACAGACCACCAGCTCTGTTAGTCTTTCTTCCTACTGCCTGCCTCCCTAGAGGTTTAACATATGGACACAAGCTCCTAAGGTGGGATCTTAGGAGTTTAGGCTCCATAAAGAGGGTGCAGGGAGATACCAGAAGCACAGATGCCTGTATCTGTTCTGTTAGGACACAACCATTACATGCATAGACTCAGGCTCTCTTTGAAACAGAGGCTTGTGACCTGCACAGAGACCCTCACCAACACCCTCAAACTCATACATTAGGGACATCTGCACCAGAGGAGTGAGTTGGAGTACAATCACAGAGCTCATTCAACTAGTCTCAGTTGGGGGCAACCCTAGATTTTGCGGGCCTGAAAATTATATAATTTTTAAAAGAAAATTCAAAATCAGGCATTAAAAGTTATATTTAGAGTAAAACAAGAATGCAGCAATTTATACATCTAAAAAGCAGACAAAGGATGAAGCTCAGGGGGAGCATTTGCTGAAGGCCCTGGCTTCAGATCGCCTGGGTCAACTGGTGTATTGAGTGATAAAGCTGATAAATAGCCAATGAAGTAAAACATGGCAAGGATAGCCTAGGCAACATAGCACAACCTATCAAAAATAATTACGATAAAAGCAACTTATTTATATCAACTCCTCTCAACAGACTGGCTCCTTGCTTTGTGTGTTTCAGCTGGCAGGGGCTTTGTGTGTAATTTGCAGAATCCTATGGACTTGTGAACATTGTGCTGGAACCTCCTCCAGAGTTTGTATCAGTGAGGGCTCCTGAATTTTATTAGCATTATGGTGAATTGGCCTGTGCACTTGAATTTTTTTCTGGGGGGGGTCTTTTTGAGACAGGGTCTCCCTGTAGCCCCAGCTGTCCTGCAATTCACTATGTAGACCAGGCTGGCCTTGAACTCACAGAGATCTGCCTGCCTCTGCCTCCTGGGTGCTGGGATTAAAGGCGTGCACCACCACTTGAATTTTTGGTCCTACATCTTAAACAGGCTCTCAGCCTGCTGAGAAGTACTGTTCTTTTAGCCCAGTAGGCTTGTTTTTCTACTTTTCAAAATGAGCACTTCACACCTTTCTGATCAAATGGCCTATAGCACTTTTGATGCCCATGGGAATAACCAGGCTCTGGGATGGGGTTGGATAGATGCCATTGGGGGTAGAGAATCATCCTCAGTAGCAGAGAGGACTCTTCTCCCATAGTGAGGAGGGGAGGTAGAGGGTATAGTGCAGGGTGAGGGCTCTCTCTGATTGTTCCCTTTTCTTAGAGAACAACTGATCAAGCTAGTATGCCAACGGTCAAGTGGTCTTTGTTATCAAGGCTGGCTTTGAATTTCAGTAGCTAGGACTAGAGGCACAGATCACCATGTCCAATTCCAAGACAATTTAAATGCTCAATTAATTTGCAGAGCTGGTAAGCAAATGTAGGGCCTTTGGGCAAGCTCTACCAGGGAGCTACATCACTACCTTCTCTCCTTCAAGTGATTTTTTAAAAAAATTATCTCCAGCGGAGTGTGGTGGCACACAGCCTGTAGTCCCAGCACTTGGGAGGCAGAGGCAGGCCGATCTCTGTGAGTTCAAGGCCAGCCTGGTCTACATAGTGAGTTCCAGGCCAGCTGGGACTACAGGGAGACCCTGCTTAAAGAAAAAAAAAAAAAAATAGCTCTCAAATGATCTTTAAAACATAAATCAGAGAATACAGCTTTCCTGGTGAAAATTCTCTACTGGCTACCATTGCACTTAGACTAAACCCCAAGGTCTTCTAGTACTTCCAAGGTCCGACGATGCCTGACTCTCCCATCTTTCAGCTGCTACTCCCATTCTAGGTTCATTGGACCCTTTTTTCTCTAGCTCCCACCAAATTCTTTTCCTATAGCAGGACTTTCGTAGTTGTTCCTCTGGCTTGGGCCCAAGGCTGGCCGCGTTGGGACATTACCACCTCCTTACAGAGATTGTCTCTGACCACTCTCAACTAAAACCTTACAGCCTTGTAATATTATCCTATTCCATTTTCTCTTGGTTGTTTCCTCTCCCCGCCCCCCCACTCCACTCCACTCCAATAATGCATGTTTCCAGGAGAGCTCAGAGCCAGCACACCCCCAATGCCTAACAATAGTAGGCACCTAAACTCAGAAATACAGGTCGAGTGGATAAATATATAATACACCAGTTGCGTTCACCAAGATGCCGGGGTTATTTAGTGTCCTTCTAGGGCCACTGCCCAGGTTTGGAACAGAGAAGGAAGCATTGCTTGCTATTCCTTGCCAATCCAGAAAGAGACCCAGCGAAAGAGACTGAGTCAGGAGAGAGAGGAAAGAGACAGACCCTGCGAGCCCAGGAAAGCCGGGATGGGGATGCAGGAGAGGCGCACTGCTCCGGAAGAGAGCGTAAAGCCAGCGCAGCGAGTCCGGAGCTCCCAAGTGGCCTCGGCAGGTGGCCGTGCGCGGTCCCGCCCTCCCGCCAGCGCGACGCGTGCGGGATCAAAGATGCGGGGAAGGGGCGGGGCGAGGAGGTGCCGGGAACCTAGGGTGCTAGCCGGCCAGCTTCCCAGGGGATGGATGACCAGAGCGTGGGAGCGCAGTGTCCGGGAGGCGGCACAGACCCACAAAGACCTCGAGACATCCCGGAGACACGCAGAGGAGAGTAGCATAGGGACCAGAGACTCGGAGGCCTGAGAGGCCGCTCTAGACCCAGAGACAACCGCAGCAGAAGTCGGTTAGACACCTGGGCAGAACACAAGAGTCGCTAAGAGGCTCTCAGACCCGGAGGCATAAAGGCGCAGGCCCTTGGACTTGGGAAAAGCGCCATTCAGAGAGCAAAAAGTGAGAGAGGAAAAGGAGAGCAAAGGAAGGGGTTGGGAGTGTGGAGGCCGGAAGCCCAGAAGATTGTCCCACCGAGAAGACCCCCTGGGTGGGGATGCCATCGCTACGTCCTTTCTCAGGGTCAGGCCTGGGGCGGTGTGGGTAAGGGGTGGAGGGAGGTTGTGGAGGCAGCAGGGCCTCCAGACTATGGAGGAGCGTTCAGGGGCCTTCGGACTACATCAGGAGCTTCCAACTCTGGGGCAGAACCAAAAGCTACACTTCATGTTAGGTCAAAATGTTCAAGCAAAGATGTTTGTTTAAAGTGTCATCAAATTAATTTTTTTCCTTTTTGGAGCATTGGGGGAGGGAAAAGTGAAATGTGCATTGGCCGGGAATCGAACCCGGGCCTCCCGCGTGGCAGGCGAGAATTCTACCACTGAACCACCAATGCATCTGGCAAAAAGTTTCTTACTGAATCTACCTGAATGTCTACAAGGCGGAGCCTAGCTACCGATTCGGGAAGGAGTAACCCAGAATGGTTGAGGTGGGTGGTTCTCCAGGTCATTCTTCCTCTCTCCGGGATCCGGCCACCGGGCCATAAAGTGACTCCATATGGCCAGGGGCGGACCCACACCCGGGTGCGAACTGTCCCTGCCCCGAGCCTCACAGGCAGGTGAGAAAAATTCAACCACAGACCTGGTTCCCAAGGAGGGGGGCGGCGGGCACTGCCGAGGCCACCCATCTGTGCTCCCATTTGGCCGAAGTAGGGGAAGGTGGGATGTGCTGGGGGCCCTGATCCCAAATGGGAGCCCCCTCCTCAAGGCCTGGGCTCCTCCCTCTCTGGCTTTTGCCAGGCAGCCTCTCAGGGGTGTGTGTGGAAATCTCAGGATGTGGAGGGCTCTGAAAAGAGGCCCCACTTGTTTCTGACTCCACAACTACCTTCTGTCCTGGTTGTTAACCATGTCTTTCTTATGTCCTTTCCCCTGGCCCTGTTTTCTTGTCTTGTTAAATTTTGAATTTACCCTCTTAGTCACTTCCTCCTGAAGTCTCCAAGTGTTGATACATTCTTCGGCAGAGGGCCATGCTTTTGGTCTGAGGTGGGTATTGATCCCTCTTCGTATTCCTTTCCTGTACCTTTATGAGAAGTCACATTTTCTTGCTCCCCAAAGTTCCTAAGAGGCCTCTAGAAACAAGAACTCCGGAGCCCTTGTGTGAGGTTGGTCCGCGAGCTATACTCCTGAATTTAGTTTTAAACCAAATGCTTGTAAATGGAGAGATTTCTTCACTCCTACCCATGCTTTAAAAACGACCCTTCTTCCTTGAAGTTCCGGGGTTGTCCTTTTCACTAGATCTGCAGGGATAAGCAGTCCCCCCACCCCCGACCCCAGCCCCGAGCTTGAGCCGTTCAAGCCAAGACTATCGCATGGTCCGCACAAGCGCGGAGATATGGTGGGAATCGGGTAAAAGTGATGGGTAACAACCACGTCTTTTCCACAGCTAGGCGGTAGGATCAGGCGGCTCTGCTCTGCCCAGGAGGATGGGACTATGAGGGAAGCTATATATATTCAGTCTGGAAGCTAAAGAGTGCTAACCTTTATTTCAGTGTTGGTGGGGGAACGGTGAACCTCCAAGAATGCTACAATTCTAGGAGATCCCCGAATTTCATGCCTAAGCGAGTTCTGTCCCAAATTGCTTAAACTCCCTCTACCCTAATATCCTCCTCCCTCCAGCTGGGTCCCGCTTAGTTGTATAGCCTTATGGTCCTTACACCAACCGGTGGTGCATTCCTCTCACACTTCCCACACTGGGGGTCAGTGCTCCTCTCCTTCCCCTCCCCCTCCACTCTCGGCCTTTCCGGGAGCCTCGTGCCGGGGTCCCTGCCCCGCGGCGTCCAGGTGCTGAAGGGGGCGGGGCCGTGTCCCATCCCTCCTACCCAGTCGCGGCGGGATATAAGGATCCAGGCAAGCGAGCACCGGGTCCGCGCCAGGGTCCGGAGGAGCAATGGTCACCAGGGATCGAGCTGAGAATAGGGACGGTCCCAAGGTGAGAGGTGGGAAGGGAGGGAGCAGAGATCTCTGTTCCAGGTGAGGATGGAGATCTCTGTTGGGGTGAGAATGGAGACGCAGGACTGAAAGAACAGAGATGCTCGTGGGACCTAAAGAACCTGCAGAGTATGAAAAAGGGGCTTGCCTGGGAGGTGGAAGCAGAGGTCTAAGGCTTTGAATTTCGGGGGGCAGCAGCTCGTGGCCTGGAGGGCTCGGGAGCCGACCAGAATTTGGGTAGGATAAGGGAGAGGAAGCCGGGCTAGGTGGCTCACGCTGGTAATCCCAGCACTCTGCCCCAAGTTTGAGGCCACCGGGGTGAGCCCCAGCAAAACAAAAAATAAACAAAGGGGGGGGGCATAAAATAGGCTAGAGAAGGACGAAGCCAATGGAGAAAGGTGGGAAGAGAGAGGCTCTCTGCAAGCAGCTGTGAGCCACATCTAGTCCAAAGCTGTCTTGATGAGAAGACTTTGAGGCATTGGTTCCAGAGGTACGAGTTGAGGGAGTGAAGAACCGGTGGGGAAAGGTGACGGCCTGGAGGGTTTTGAGCGAGAAGAGGAGGCAAGGTTGCGCTAAGGTCCGCCTCTCTCACTCTGGCCTGCCAACTCCCACCCACATGGTACCGCTCACTTGCCTGGGAGCAAAGAGGGTCCCCAGAGTTCTTCACTGAGACAGAGATTACGCAGACAGAGACGAAGGGAGAAAAGCGGAGAGACATAGAAGGGGAAGTGGGAGGAGGAGACCAAGGGTAAAAAGCAGAAAACCTGGGTCGGGGTCGTGGCGGAGGTGGGGTGGGGTGTGTGAATGAATGGTTAGCCCTAGGCAATCTGGGGTTTGAGGAAAGGGGTGCAAGCGGACTCTCCCAGCCGCAGGATCTGGATGCTTGTTGGTCGTTGCTGAGTCTGGGTCGGGTCGGGTCGGCCAGCTCTCCCTATCTCCCTGGTAACAGATGCTGAAGCCGCTGGTGGAGAAGCGGCGCCGGGATCGCATCAACCGCAGCCTGGAAGAACTGAGGCTGCTCCTGTTGGAGAGGACCCGGGACCAGGTCAGTTCCACAGCCAGTCCCACACCCTTAGGCATCCTGGTCTTGCGTCCCAGGGCTTCCCACTGGGGTGGGGACCTAAGCTGGAGTGGCGATCCTCGTTCCAAGGCATCCTGACCCAAGGTCCAGTCCTTGAAATCCCATCCCAGAAACCTTCTCGCTCTCAGAATTCGATCTTCGGCACCCTGCGGGTCTTGGCTCTGTGAACTGGGTTCCCAGGGTGCGTCAGTTTCACACTTTGGGTCTCTAAAGGTCCGCTTCCGCTTCCCATACCCCCCTTTACATCCCCTCCAGATCAACCAGCTTCAGTTCCGTTACTCCCGGGGTTGCAGTTCAAACACTCCCTCCCACGTTGGGAACTGGTTCCCCTCCCTCCGGTTGGGCAGTGTGGTCTCCGGGTGGGACAGGACCTGTCTTGGTCATCTCCGATTTCAGTTCAGGGGGGCACCCGCAGCTCCCGCATCCGCCCCTCCCTTCTTCCCCCTGCCACTTCCCCCCTCTCTCCCCACCCCTTTCTGTCTCTGCGCCCTCCCCTCCCGCCTGTAGAACCTCCGGAACCCGAAGCTGGAGAAAGCAGAGATACTGGAGTTCGCCGTGGGCTACTTGAGGGAGCGAAGCCGGGTGGAGCCCCCGGGTACAGCGCGGGGGTGGGGCAGGGAGGGAGGTGGGGACCCCGGGAGGGGCGGGCCCTTCGGGGGACGGTGGGCTTGGGGAGCTGCCGGCTGGGTTGCTCGGCGAGGTTAATAACCCCCGCGCTTGTCTGTCTCTGTGTCTCCCTCGCTCTTCCCCTCTGTGCATCCATCTGGCCTCCTGTCTGTGCGCCCGTCTGACCTCGGTATCTCTGCGCCCCTTCCCTTCCCTCACCCCTGTTGGGCCCCGGGCCTGCCCGCCTGTCCTCCCGCCGGCCGCACCAGGGGTTCCGCGGTCCCCAGCCCAGGACGCCGAGGCGCTCGCCAGCTGCTACTTATCCGGCTTCCGCGAGTGTCTGCTTCGCTTGGCGGCCTTTGCGCACGACGCCAGCCCGGCCGCCCGCTCCCAGCTTTTCTCCGCGCTGCATGGCTACCTGCGCCCCAAACCGCCCCGGCCGGAGGCGGTAGATCCCAGGCTTGCAGCGGCGCGCCCACCGCTGGACCCCGCCGCACCCATCCTTGGCCCCGCGCTGCAGCAGCGCCCCCCAGTACACCAGGGCCCCCCTAGCCCGCGCTGCGCTTGGTCCCCAACCCACTGCTCACCCCGAGCCGGGGATCCCGGCGCCCCGGCGCCCCTCACCGGACTGCTGCCACCGCCACCGCCGCCTTACAGACAAGTCGGGGCGCCCAAGGCCCCGCCACTCCCACTGCCCGCCTTTTGGAGACCTTGGCCCTGAGCTTTGGGGGGCTGGAGGTGGGGGTTGGGGGTGGGGTAGAGACTGCAGGCCGAGGGCAGGAGAGGGACCCCGGCATCCAGGCGAGGTGTTGGGGAGGGTAGTGGGGCGCGCGGGCTCAGCGCGCGGGTGAGATGTGGTCTATATTAGAGTATCTATATAAATATATATTTTCCTGCTTCCTATCCCTTTTCCCTGCCCCACGACCCTGCGTGTAGGATTGTACCCTTTCTGCCCCAGCCCAACCCCAGTTCCTTCCCGAGTCCCTAGTGCATGGAATAAAGTGGTTATTAAATCCCCGTGTGTCCCCTAGCCAGGGGCCTGCCTTTATGTCGGCGTCCACGCCCACTTGTCCATTCCTTTCGGTCTCCCACCTTCAGTCTCCATGGCCCAAGCCCTGGGGCAGACAGGTAAGTGAAGAGCAGAGTGGGAGACTAAGGTCGGAACTGAAACCAATTAGAAAACAAAGAGTAGGGTGGGGGAAGGAATGGGGGGCCTTGAAATTAAAACTGAGAAATAAAACCGACTCTGGTGGGATTCGAACCCACAACCTTTGAATCGCTTGATTTCATCTCTAGAAGTCCAATGCGCTATCCATTGCGCCACAGAGCCACCTGGCAGGCGGCGCCTTCTCTCAGCTTACGGACACTAGCATAGGAAAAAGGGGTCGAGTCCGGGAAAGCTAGGGCAAGGAAACTGGGCGGAGCATAAGAAGAGCCGGGGGAAGGGCTCAGAGGCCAGCTGAACGAGAGGAAGCCCGCGGAAAGCCCGGAGTTTAGTGGGAATGAGGGTGGGCACGGGTGCCCAGGAGTAGGGAGGGAGAGTAACCGATTCGGAGCTAGCCGGCAGTGCAAAACTTGGGCTGCCCGCTTGGGGAGTGCTACCAAGAGGGCTTATTCTACTCCCAGATTTTATCCCGCTGAATAAATTTGTTTTGTTGTAAATCTCCATGTCTTTTGGTCCATTTGTTTCGCTGCTTTATTATGTTGTCCGGTGTCTCGGTGGTTCCTCGGTGTTTGTTTGAAACGTACAGCAAAAGAGGGTCAGATCGGTTCAGTGTTTCCAGCATAAGCCAGCTACTTCCTCCTGTTCTCTTAGGAAGACGACCGGGACAAAGAACGCCTATGCGGGTAGCGTGGCCGAGCGGTCTAAGGCGCTGGATTTAGGCTCCAGTCTCTTCGGAGGCGTGGGTTCGAATCCCACCGCTGCCAGGCCAGGGTTTTGTTTTTTTTCCCTTTCTCCCAGGCACCGCTGTTACGCCTTTGTAAAGGCCTACTAGGAGTACTGTTCTTTAGTTTTATGAAAACCACTACGAGTGATATCACCATCAACTTTCCTCCTCATTGTTACCGACAAATCCTAAAAGTACTACCCTATTTCTAGTAAAGACTAATATCTACTGAAAGTGACTTTTATAATTAATCTCCAATGTAAACATATCTAGAAATCTAATACTTATATCTCGAATTCAGTGCAGCTCTCACTATATGTAAATAGTTTCCTATAATATTAATCTGATGTTCCATTATAGGAACTTCACCTACCCAGTGTGAAAATTTCCCAAAAGAAAAGTAAAAGTTAAGGTTCCACCGAGATTTGAACTCGGATCGCTGGATTCAGAGTCCAGAGTGCTAACCATTACACCATGGAACCTCCCACGAGCTGGGGCTTTCTGAAATTATATACATTATATTTTGCATCTTATTTTGCATCTTTTACAAACTATCGTTTCTGGAAATGAACGTGAAGACGCCAACTACCGCTACTGGATGTTGTTATTGAATACCTGAAGTACAAATGCTCTCGTCTAAAGACAAAAGATTACGAGAAAAACACCAAAATTTTTCATTAAAATGCTAGTTTAAAAATACCAATTTAACGTTAAAATAAGATTTTCAAATATTGGATTAAGTCAAATATATTATCAAAATTCATTTCTCGTGGCTTCTAGAAAATTCATTGTACACTTGGCTTGCATAGGTGCTACTCTAAAACATCGCCGCTCCCTTTCATCGTCACCCGTAGAATTATATAACACCCCTGGTTTACTTATCACCACTTTCTTTTTAAAAGAAGGTAAGTATTTTGTTGTTGGATTGTTCCAGTTGAGGCGCAGAATTTATAAATTGCAGTTGTAAGAAGAGGTTGCAACAAAAACGAGTGACGCCCGAACAGGGACTTGAACCCTGGACCCTCAGATTAAAAGTCTGATGCTCTACCGACTGAGCTATCCGGGCTCTTATTAAGCGTGGCTTCTTATGTCTAAAGGAAGTCTGCGTGAACCCTCTGTAATTAAGTGCAGGAGCGCTCAAGTGGAAAGAAACTACGTAAGCGCGGAGGGCTGAAGAGGTTTAGTTTTACGCCAGTGAGGCAGCCGCGGCTGCCTGCGCCTCTCCGCCTCCCTTCGAGCCGAGCGGATCTGGTTCGGAGGAGCTGGAGCGTCCCGGTGGCAGGAATCCGGACGAGCCTGGCCTGGCCTCTCCGGGCCGCGGCGGGCTGTGGGTTTCCTTGGTAGAAAGTATCCTTCCTTCTTGGCCCTCGTGACCCAGATCCCAGACACCTAAAGCACCCGGGCTGCTACCCACAGTCCAGCAGGGTGAGGAAGGACCTGCAGCGGAAAGAATGTCACCTGCGGTCTCCAGATACTGCCCCGCAGGAGTTCATTCTCTTGACCCCACCTATCCCAAAGGAGAGATTGAGGTCGGGAATACCAAATACTGGGGACAGAGAGGACCAGGTGTGGGGAAGAGATGAGTGTGTGGGGAGGCTGTATGAGAGCTGTTCCTGACTGCCCTGCCCTGTGCTGAGATGTGTGCTACTCACCTGATTGTGGCTGCGGTCACATGTGATTTATGAGCCAGGGCAGCTTACCTATGTACAGTGTGATTCACGTGGATGATTTATGTGTAGGAATTCTGGTGCTCTGTAACCATTTCTGGTTGGGAAACAGGAGGAAAAGGGTCTGGGGGTAAATTGGAGAGTGAACAGACATGGGACCCGGGACATTAGCCAAGTGTCTGACCAGGCGGAGGGCAGTGTTCCAATCCCAATCTTATATCTGTCACCTCCTCCCTGTCTCCCTCTCAGAGTTTGGTCCCTCCTTCTTTCCCTCCCCAATGGACCCAGGCTCCTGATATCCATCTGGGTGAACCAGCCAGAGGGACCGGCTGTGCCAGAGGCAAGCAAACAAGTATTAGGGTGTAAGACTGTGGGCGGGAAGAGGACACCTGAGCCACCAGCTGGGCTTCGGTGAGAGACAGCTCAGGAACATCCCAGACAGAGCCGGGCCCTTCCTCAGACCCACCCTTTCCCAGCCCCCAGCCCTCTGCCCAGGAGCCCACACTGTCCTACCTGTAACTCACCTCCTCTAGGCCAGCTACTGTTCTGTCCAGCGTTGGGTCTCATTATGGCAGTGTACCGCTTGTGTGTGACCACTGGTCCCTACCTGAAGGCTGGCACGCTGGATAACATCCATGCGACACTGGTGGGCACCTGTGGTGAGAGCCCCAAGCAGAGACTGGATCGAGTTGGCAGGGACTTCGCCTCCGGATCGGTGAGTACATCGGAGAGGCAGGACCTATGAGGGGCAGACCTCACAGGGCACCCTGAAAGAGGGAAGGTTCATTCTTGCTGGAATCATCAAATCCCGCGGAACAGTAACCTGCTTACCATTTCCTTTGTGGTTCCTGCCTTGTGGGAGATGATACATCGTAACAATTGTCCTGAGACAGGGCTGTGGAGAAGGAGCACTAGGAAGGGGCTCCTGGGGCTTACCCTGGCTTCCCGGCTCCTCCCATCATTGACACTGGGCTTTGGCCAGGTCCCTTCCCCACTCTGAGCTTTAGTGATTTTCTGGGAAGCGCAAGGATGGCCTTGGCGGTGCCTTGCCTCTCACTGGCTTGATTGCTACCTTCATCACTCCAGGTTCAGAAGTACAAGGTGCGGTGTGCAGCAGAGCTGGGCGAGATCTTACTGTTGCGCTTACACAAGGAGCGCTTCGCTTTCTTCCGCAAGGACCCCTGGTATTGCAGTCGTATCAGTGTTACTGCCCCAGATGGTTCTGTTGTTCATTTCCCCTGCTATCAGTGGATTGAGGGCTACTGCACCACGGAGTTGCGGCCAGGAACAGGTGGGCCAGGAACAAGGACTGTACAGACATGCAGATTGGGAATTAGGGATGGAGTCTCACAGAATCCAGGGTGTAGGAAATAGAATTGGGGTTAGGAACTCTGGAATTCTGAGCATACACCATTTGAAGTGCACAGACAGGCTCATGTAGACAGATATACATTCTCATACCCAGCAACTTCTCTCCACAGCTTCCCTCAGAGGACATTCTTCTGAAATTAACTTGCTAACTAGCTAGATTTCAACAGGTGGAAAAGGCCTGAATGTTCAGAGAATTAACTGCAGAGACTCTGCTCCTTACTTCTAGCTTTTCTAGTGGGGATGGTGAGGGAGATGAGTTAGGCTCTCTTGTTGGATTTGGATTTAAAGGATGCTGGTGTGAGCCCCTTCTGCCTCCAGAGCTGTTTGTTCCACAGAGGTAACACTAGGTTCTCTCTCTCTCTCTCTCTCTCTCTCTCTCTCTCTCTCTCTCGATGGTGAGGGAGATGAGTTAGGCTCTCTTGTTGGATTTTGGATTTAAAGGATGCTGGTGTGAGCCCCTTCTGCCTCCAGAGCTGTTTGTTCCACAGAGGTAACACTAGGTTCTCTCTCTCTCTCTCTCTCTCTCTCCCTCTCTCTCAATGAGTCTCAGAGATGAAAGACAAGCTTTCTAGGTTAAGGTGAGGCAAGTGAACATTACCCCACAGCCCATAATGTGCTCTTCATAGTTTCATTATCAACCTCCACTCATCATAGAGCACATGCATAGCTTCATTAAAACGTATTTATTCAGCCATTATCAAGAGCATGATGCCAGGCACCAAGCCAGATGCTAGGAGGACAAACAATGAATGTAATGTGACTTCTGTCTAAAAGGAGTGGTGTATCATCTAGAAAAGAGACAAAGACATAAACAGTTATAATTTGGGGGTATTAGTGCCTCAAATCCATGATGGATGAACAAAGAGCATGTAGCTGGCCCCCATATGATGCATATGGGGTTGGCATAGGTTGCATTCAGGGGTTAGAGTGTTCAGGCAACGTTTGCAGTAGGAAGCATTGTTTGAAAAGAGATTTATATGAAGAGCCATTTTCATTCCCCACAGCGAGAACCATTTGTCAGGATTCCCTTCCCCTCCTTCTGGATCACAGGAAACAGGAACTCCAGGCCCGACAAGAATGCTACCGGTGAGGGCAGTCTAATTAACTTCTTGTCCCATCTTTATTTTTTCTTCAGTCTTACTCAGGTTGTTCCAAACTCTGACTTCAGTTCCAAGCTGAAACCTTGGGGACCCAATTCTGATCAGGATTCTCATCTATCTATCTATCTATCTATCTATCTATCTATCTATCTATCTATCTATCTATCTATCTACCTACCTATCTAGTTTTTGATCTTTTGAGACAGGGTCTCCCTTCAGAGCTGGTCTGGAACTTACTATGTGACAAGGCTAGCCTTAACTCACAGAGATTTGCCTGCCTCTGCTTCCCAAGTGCTGGGATTAAAGGCGTGTGCCACCATACCCTGCCAGGATCCTCATTTAAGCTCAAGCCCACTCTAATAGTGATCCTGAGTCTGGACCCAGGATACCAATATCAATAATTGTTCAGAACTGGGGCTCAGTGGTAGAGAGCTTGCATAGCATTCTCAAGGCCCTGAGTTTGATCCTTAGCACAACCCCAAATCCAACACTTACCCCAAGACCATTCTCAACTTCTGATTGCCCCTGATATAACCCAGACCCCACTTTTGGAAATGGCACTAGTATTTACCAATCTTAGTCCATCAAACTCCCCATACTTTTTTTGAGATGTGGGGGTCTTACTACATAGCCCAGGCTGGTCTATCTCAACCTTCAAAGTGCTGGGATTACAGATGTGTGTCACCACACTTGACTACTATTATTGTAATGGTAATATAAACCCATCTATAAACCAGTGTGGGTATTTATGTCATCCTGAAGTGCTATTCTGGGGCTTAGGGATGTGGCTCAATAGTACAGCATGTGCCTAGCATGCACGAGCCCTGGGTTCCATCTCCTATCTGAAGCTCAGTGCTTTCATGGAAAAAAAAAATCCAGTTCTTTGTTATATGCCCAGAAAGTAGTAGATAGTTTCTGGTGTTTTAATCTGAAGTCATAGCTTTAGAAGCTAAGGCTTTTGTTTATCCCAAGCTTGACCTACCACTTCTACCTCTTTCCCTGTGCAGTTGGAAGATCTATGCCCCTGGTTTCCCTCGCATGGTGGATGTCAGCAGTTTTGAAGAGATGGAGTCAGATAAGAAATTTGCCTTGACCAAGACAGCACCTTGTGAAGACCAGGGTGACAAGTGAGAACAAAGGCTTAGAAAGCAGGTGGAAGGGAGGGGTATAGAGGGTCTGCTGAGAGGAAGGGGCTCGGTAGCCTGGAGGCCAGTATCAGAGTCCATAAGAAGTACAGTTTTGTTTTGCTGTTAGGAGCAGAGGGGGACCTGGTCCTGAGTCTAGCAGAGAAGACAAAAATGAGGAATTAGTTTAGATTCAGAGCAGAAAGAATAGGTCAAGATAATGGTGAGGGGAGAACTCTGGGGACAAGATTGAGAAAAGGAATTAAGGGGGACAGGCTGTGGGTTCCAGTGACTGGTCTTCATCCTCTATGCCCCCTTCTCCTCAGCCCTGGGAACCGGTACTTGCCTGGCTTTCCCATGAAAATTGACATCCCATCTCTGCTGCACATGGAGCCTAACATTCGCTACTCAGCCACCAAGACAGCCTCACTGATCTTCAATGCCATCCCTGCGTGAGCACACTGCCCTCCCTGCACTTTGCCTCTCTGTCCCTTCTCCCCAGCTCCTGTCATGCATGTCTCACATGACAGCCCCCAATCCCTCTCTCTGCCCCTTCTCCCCTCCTATAGACTCTCATGCTCCCCCTTTCCTCCCAGCCTCCCTTTACTTGGTCCTTTGAGTCTTCTCTCGTCCGCCTAGTCTTCTTCCTCAGGGCACCTACCCCGAGCAGAGAATAGTCCTAAGGACCCTGCGAAGCAGGATAGAGGCTATGCCCTTAGGCCTTGAAGAGGTGGGGCCAAATTACCTCAGATTCAAACTCCAAAGTTCATGTTTTTTAGATTTTTGATTTTTACATTGTCTCTGGACAGTTGCCTTGATGGTAAAATGACACACCCACTCCAACATCATAAGGTTGTTTGTTTGTTTGTTTTGGTCTTTATTTTTTGGTCTTTTTTGAGACAGGATTTCCCAGTAGCTCCAGCTGGCCTAGAACTCACTATGTAGACCAAGCTGGCCTTGAACTCACAGAGATCTGCCTGTCTCTGCCTCCAGAGTGCTGGGATTAAAGGCGTGCACCACCATGCCTGGCAGTATCATAAGTTTTAAGAAGAATTAAATGAAATAACACCAAGCATGGAATTTCTCAATAGATGTTGTTATTATTATTAGTAGTAGTATTTGAAGACATCCTTTGGCAGGAGGAATTCACAGGATTACTAAGGAGTTATGTATACAATTAATGAATGGTCACAGCAGCCTTTAGCTGTTTCAGTCAATAGCTGGTGTTGTTAAGTGTGATGTGACTGGAGAGAGGAGTCCAATTACCCCCTGTGTACATGGAGAAGAAGGGGTCAGGAGGTTGCTCTTAGGGAGAGACACAGGATTGAAGCAAGCCTGGGAGGGAAGAGATGAGGGAACAGTAAGTGACTGCCAAATCCAGGATGGGGACAGTTATTCAGTTGCTCTGTGGGGAGCAGAAGTCTTAACTCACTACTGGAGCAGAGTGACGTGTGGAGACCCAGAGGAGGCTGGCCTGTCATTTCCTGGTTCAGTGAATCTAGAATGATTCTTTCAGGAAAGGACAAGTGGAAGAGGATGTGGAGGTTGGGGAGTGGGCACTAAGGAGTATGATGGATAGAGTGTGCAGGCAGTCACAAGGATAAGAACACATTTTGAAACCTGGGCATGACTGTGGAGCATCTGGGAAGACAGAGAGAGATCCTGCATTGAGTCCTAGAGGAGAGTGCAGGTCTAGGCAGGAAAGGGTCCAAGAAAAAAAAAATAAAAATAAAAGGAACCACCAGTATGGGACTCTAAGCAAGGCCAGAGAAAGAGGAGGCTGATCTTGAGCAGCTGCACAGGTGTTTAGGGAGAGTCAACAAGGGTAACTATAGGGTGTTGTGAAGATTATTTATGGCAGGCCCTTGGAAAAGGAAGACCTCTTTTCATACTTTTATTCACCTCAGCCTCTGCATTCATAATTGAGTTCTGCCAGTTTTTCTCTGTAGCTCAGGCAGGCCTTGAACACTCAATCCTCCTGCCTTAGCCAGCCCAGTAGCTGGGATATAGGCTTGTGCCACTAGGCCCAACTCTGCCCAACTTTTCCTATCTTCCCCAGTTGTGACTGGAAAGCACTCAGCTTATGTTTGTGCAGTGAATGAGCAAGGACTTAGTGAGCACAGATGACCTTATCCCTGCCTGTACGATCATTAATCCACCTCCCAGCCCCCTATTCCTGCCTTCTCCAGGTGCCTACACTCTTCAGGGCATAGTAGCTTCATTACATCAGTCATCCTTATTGACCCCTTGTTACAAACCTACCTGTTTGGGTTCCCTTTCCTTTGGGTTCAGCGCATTTGGTGAGTACTTGTCAAGACAAGCAGAATGGTGTCCTTGTCCTGAAGAGTTCACAGTAGAATTGGAGATAATATGTGTACACTGGGTTTATAATGAAACACAGGGAATTGTGAATGTTTTGTGAAAGATCCAAGGCATATGTCTTAGGGGAGATCAGGTAAGACTTCATAAGGGACTTTGCATCTGAGTTGCACCCAAGGATCAAATAGACCTCATAGTAGTAGGAGGTAACTTTTCAACAGAGACTAAGCTTGAACAAATCCCTATAAATAGGGAGAACCAATCTAATTTAAAGGCTTTTTACTTTTTCCTGATGCTCATGATAAAAATTCAAACAGTATAGAGATCTACAAAGCAAAATAGCTCACCAACCACCTCACCAACTCTACTTTCACCAATCCATGAGTGAACAAAGTATATTCTTGATTATTTTTGGGAAGTAGGCCTTGGTTGGCCTTATCTAGCAAAGAGGTGTGAGAGAAAAAGCTGGAAAGGTTATATAATTTTGCTGGAGGGGTGCACCATGGATTAGCCAGGCTTGGAAGTTGGGGCTTTGTCCTGTAGGCAGAAAGGAGCCATCGAAGGTCTAAAAAATTGTAGGAGTTTGGAGAAAGCTGGTCAAAACTTCAGTGAGGGTGGTTTGTCTACACCAGGGGTACCACCTCTGCCCATGTGCAGTCATTCCTCCAGGAATGACTGCATTTGAAGCAGAACTTGCAGTTTGCAGAGCTTCACTGAAGCACTGTTTTCCCCCATGTGGATTGTTAGGCACATCTACTTGGGGAATGACCCTGTTGATTCCCTCCAGGCTGGGTCACAATGGCCTTTAACAGCCTCCAGCTCCTGCTCTCACCTTCCCCTGCCCCTCAGATCCTTGGGCATGAAAATTCGAGGGCTGCTAGACCGCAAGGGTTCCTGGAAGAAGCTAGATGACATCAGGAACATCTTCTGGTGCCACAAGACCTTCACTTCAGGTATGTAGGACCTGTCCTTTATTGTACCTCATGTTCCTACCCCTTCCTCCTCTTCCTGGGTCAGGGTTCTCAGGGAGACTACTGCATTCCAATGGGTTGGGGTCTGGCTTCACTGGTGATATCTTCCAGATTCCTCTCAGGAACCCAGGCACCTTTTCAGACAAGAATAGGATTGTGAGGCTAGAGAGACACTCTGCTAACCCAGAAGAGGCTCATGGTCATCATTTAGGGGGTCCTGATGTTGATCAGGGGCACCTGACTCCCTTCCCTACTCCTCTCATCAGTTGTTCTGGGCTTTGGGAGATTTTGGTTCCAGTCCCAGCACTGACACTCAAGTGGGAAAGCCGCTCTATCTCTCTGACCCCCTAAGTGTCTAGCACTTAATTGAAGACCTAGTTATATAGTCACTGGGAGGAAAACTGAAGTTGCAATGATGAACAAAGGGCAGGGCATGACTAGAATTTGGGAAAGCAGTTTCCAAACTTACTGACTGGTTCCTTCCCTTGCCCCCCAGAATATGTCACAGAACACTGGTGTGAGGACAGCTTCTTTGGATACCAGTACCTGAATGGTGTCAATCCTGTCATGCTCCATGGTCTCTCCAGCTTGCCCAGCAAGCTGCCTGTCACCAATGACATGGTGGCACCCTTGCTGGGACCAGGCACCTGCCTGCAGACAGAACTAGAGGTGGGTGAGGACCTTGGCGGTGGACTTGATAAGAGGAAGGCAGGTGGGTTGCCATTATGGACAAAAGCTATACACGGAGGGTAGAGGTGGAACAGCCCAGGCCCATGGGCTTCATCCTCAGGGCACTCCTGACTGCCTTTCAAAGAGCACAAATGTGGAGAGGCTTGGGATGCTTTGAGGCCTCTTCTGGAGTCTCAGAGATCCCAAGTGCTGAAGTAAAAGAATGCTGCTTTAGGACAGCAGGTGTAGTAGGAAGGATCTTGGAGGACTAGGAACTCTGAGGATGTGGGGTAGGTGATGATGATCCAGCTCTCCAGGACAACCAAGCCTTCAGGTGTTCTCCAGAGGCAGGGGCTGTGGTTGGTATTGATTTTGCTGTTGTTGGATACACTGAGGCCAGATTTCAGAAGGGGATTCCTTCTGAGCTGAGGGAGTAGGAAGGGCAAGGTATGGTGGGGGAGGAGCACAGGAAGCTGGTTTGTCCCACCCAGAGGCCACTTGAGAAATTTCACAACGACAGACGCATCTGGACCTCATTCCGGACATTCTGGAAGGGTGCGGTGCGGGACACAGCATTGGCCTTTAGTGCAGGCAGCAAGAATTGCTCAGTCTCAAACTGGGAACCTTAGCTCTCCTTGCAACAGAGAACCGAGAGAAAAGTGGGGCACGGGGCAGAGGGCGTGCTAAGTCTCTGTGCGCCCTCTCCAGAGGGGGAACATCTTCCTAGCGGACTATTGGATTCTGGCTGAGGCCCCTGTCAATTGCCTAAATGGCCGCCAACAGTACGTGGCCGCTCCTCTCTGCCTGCTGTGGCTCAACCCACAGGGGGTGCTGCTGCCCTTGGCCATCCAGGTGAGCTTTGGGGCGGGGCTTAAGGGGGTGGAGCCTCAGGGGCAGGCTCAGAGTCTAGAGCCACACCTCTTACTACTACTCTCGCGCGCAGCTCAGCCAGACTCCAGGGCCGGAGAACCCCATCTTTCTGCCTACTGACTGCGAGTTGGATTGGCTGCTGGCCAAGACGTGGGTGCGCAACTCTGAGTTCTTAGTGCACGAGAACAACACGCACTTTCTGTGCACGCATTTGCTGTGCGAGGCCTTCTCCATGGCCACACTGCGCCAGCTGCCGCTTTGCCATCCGGTCTACAAGGTCTGTGACAAGCTGTGTCGAGACTAAAGGGGGCGGGGCCTGCAGGCCAGCTGTGACTTTCGGCTCACGTGACTTCATCCGGTTCGCAGCTCTTGCTTCCCCATACTCGCTACACGCTGCAGGTGAACACTATCGCGAGGGCCACGCTGCTCAACCCAGACGGTCTCGTGGACAAGGTGCAACCTCCCCGCCGTGACCCTGAGGCCCCGCCCCTGAGTATGCTTTGCCCCCACCCACAAGTTCCGTTCTTGTGCCCCAGACCCTAACATTGTCTTTGCTTGCCTCTGTCCACAAGCCACGCCTCACTTTACCAGTTTTCTATTTGTCTCAACCCTAATTCCCTGCCCCGCTGGCTAATCCCATCCGCAGGTACCACCCCCCTCAAGACACCATTCATTCCATGGATAGGTCAGCAGTCCTAACCGAGGGCTGCCCCCAGCTGATTCTGAGCTGTCTCCCCAGAGTTCAGGTCATTCTTTTAGTTATCAGTATCTTAGGGTCTCCTCCTCTGCACACCGTAGGGCTGCAGTCCTCGCAGCCTACGTCAGGGAGGCCCGTGTGGGTATTTGATCCTTGGTCCTGGGCTGCTTGGTAGAGTGCATAAGCTCCTACCAGAGCCGAGCTGTTAGTCTAGGCACTGTGACAGGGAATGGGTGAACTTGGGGAGTCGAGCTATGCTGTGTCCGCAGGTCACGTCCATCGGGAGGCGCGGCCTCATCTACCTCATGAGCACCGGACTGGCCCACTTCACCTACAGGGATTTCTGCCTTCCTGATAGCCTGAGGGCGCGCAGCGTCCTGACCATCCCGAACTACCACTACCGAGACGATGGCCTGAAGATCTGGGCGGCCATTGAGAGGTGCCGGGGCTTGGACTCCTCCTATCTTACCAGGGTCTCCAGGCCTGGAGGGCAGTGTGGGCACCCGTGCTCATGTCAGTTGGGGTGCTTGAGTCTGGGGACTCCAGGTGTTCTCAGACTGCAGCATAATTCCCAAGGGTGAAATAGGAGGTGACCGAATTGCAGTGGAGGAAGGGAAGAGGCATGGTGTCTAGAAGAGTCAGAGGTCCAGGGCTTGTCCAGGCAAGCAGTGTCCTTCATCCTGGGTGCTGAGAAGGGAGGGGAGGACACACAACATGCAGAGTCTCCTCTGCATTGCCCTCCAAGGAGGAGGCCCAGAACCTCCTTGATTCAGGAAGGGGAATGGGACTTAAGGGAAACCTAGGCACTAGCTCCAGCTGGATCTGCAGGTCCTATTGAACCTCCTTCCCTCTTTGGAGATTCTCAGTGGTAGACTCTGTCCATCTGCTTCTCCCCTGCCTGCTTGGCAGTGGGCCTTGGTGCCTGGTCTGGCCTAAGCCCAGGGTTACTCCAGGGGCACTAGTGTCTTTTTCTTGCAGGTTTGTCTCAGAGATCGTGAACTACTATTATCCCAGTGATGCATCAGTGCAACAGGACTCTGAGCTGCAGGCCTGGGTGGGCGAGATTTTTGCCCAGGCGTTCCTGGGTCGGGAGAGCTCAGGTACCCCTCTCTGTCCCCATCCATACCACTTACAAGCCCTTGATGATCCAATTCTCATCCTCCCCCATCTCTCCTCCATTAATCAATTTGTATTATTGAAATCCATGCTATTTCTTTATTGCAGTGCTGAGGATTGAACCCAGAGCCTCACTCATGCTAGGCAAGCACTCTACCACTGAGCTGCAGCTCTGACATCCACACCATTATTATCCCACTTAGCAGAGGAGGAACTAGGCTCAGAGAAGGCTGCTGAGACAGGATTCCAGACAAGCTTGGACTGTCTCTGAAGCTCTTGCTTTTCAGTCATGATTCTGTGGTTCTCCCATCTTTACACAAACTCATCTGTTTACTTTAGCTTGCTGAACTACGTCAATATATAACGTGGTTGGAGCCATCTCTGACTTCAAAAGATTCTAGAATCTTCTCTTATGCCCTTTTGTATCTGTCTTGCCAGATGGTCTCTCTAGCCACTAATTTCTCTTTGCTTCCTGTGATACAAGCCTCTTCACAAAGTGGGTTGGTCTTGCTGCTGCCTGACTCCTGGCTTACGCTTGCCACTTAACAGAAGTACTCCTCTGTCTTCTGACACTCCCTGAGAAGCCTCAGAGAACCACCAATAATGGCTCCTCTCAGCCTCTGTACCTTAACCGCAGGGTTAGGCAGATGCCCCACACCATCCCTCTATTCCTTAATGTTTTCTTAGCTACATGGAGGTATGTATGATCTCTCCCTGCTTATCCTGGATCTGTGGCTTTTTTCTACCCATCCCTAATGGAAGGAGCCTCTCTCCTCTTGCTTCTCTGTAGTGGATTTCCAGGTTCAGAAATCCCACATGCCCTCCCCAAAAGGACTTTTCTTTCTGGTGTCTCACTGTTATCCTTAAGACCAGCACGTGAAAATTACAAATCACTTTTTAAAAATTATTTTTAATGATGTGTTTTAACCTGTTTTTACTTTTAATTTCATTTTATTTATTTATTTATTTATTGTGTATGTGTATGTGTATGTATGTGTGTGTATGTGTTTATGTGGAAGGGGATGCACAATGGCATATGTGTGGAAGTCACAGAACAACTTGTAGGGGTTGGTTCTTTCTTTCCACAGTGTAGGTCCTGGCCTGGGGATTGAACTCAGGTCAAACGTTTAGGCATTCAGTGCCTTTACCTGCTGAGCCTTTTGTCTTTGCTCTTATTAAAGTGGCTCAGATGTCCATGGTCTTGTTTCCCTTGTCCAGGCCTGACACTTCACTCAGTGGGATGTGGTTTTTATCTGACTTGTTGCTTCTGATGTCTATACAGGGACATTATGTGTGGGGAGACCCAAGGAAGAGGAATAGTCTTGGGCCACCTCCAAATAGAGCAAACAGCTATTTCAGTTCTATCCAGAATGAGCTTGAGCTTTCTTTTCTTTTAGACAAAACTTTTTGAATATGTAGATACTAGATAGTGTATTCCAAGGACACCAGTTGACCCACACACCAGATTCAATAATGACTAATATTTTGCCATAGTTAACTGATCTGTTGCTTTTCTTTTCTTCCTTCCTTCCTTCCTTCCTTCCTTCCTTCCTTCCTTCCTTCCTTCCTTCCTTCCTTTCTTTTTTTTGAGACAGCGTCTCACTATATAGCCCTGGATGGCCTAGAACTTGATACGTAGACCAGGCTGACCTGAAACTCACAGATATCTGACTGCCTCTGTCTCCCAAGTGCTGGGAATAGCCACCACCCCTGCTCAACCCCCCTTTTGAGAATTAATTTTTTTTTTCAGTTCTGGGGATCAAGCCCAGGTCTTCCTACATTGTTAGGCAAGTGTTATAGGACTAAGCTATACACTTAGCTGTACACTTAACAAAATTGACAATGCTCTCCAATGCCACTCTCACATCTAATCCACAGACAAATTTCCCCACTTGCCCTATCCACCACCCCTCCCCATTCTATTGAGTCAGAAACCAATCTAAAAAAAAACCCGTATTTCTTTTATTTCAATTTTAAAGTCTCTTCTCCCTTCTCTCCTTTCTTCTCCCCCCCCCCTCTCGACAGGGTTTTACTATATAGCACTGGCTGGCCTAGAACTCCTTATGGTGACTAGGCTGGCCTCAAACACACAAAGACCCACCTGCCTCTGTATTCTGAATGCTGGGATTAAAGGTCTATGCCACCACACCAGGTCTTGAGTCTTTTCTTTGTGTGTGTGTGTGTGGGGGGGTACATACTCAAACTTTATTTATAGTAGAGATATTCAAAAGTTGAACACTTACAAGTTTGAAACATTCAGTGCTGTCTTAAAAGTTTCATGCCACTTTATCCACTGACTTCTTAGATTTTTTTTTCCTTAGTAAAAGCAGATATTTTAACATATAATGGAATAAGTTCTATATTGAATTATTTACATGTATTAATTCATTATACAATCACTCTGAAAGATAATAGCAAGCTAGATCTAGGACTTGTAGTCTTATCTATAATTCTGTAAAGACTCTGTTGGAAAAGAGAAGTTGGTCCTAAAATATTGCCTCACATATCTTGAGAATACTTCTTTTCTGATAACAACCTCTGTTTCTTTTTTTTAATGTACTCTTTCTTCTTCTTTTATTTATTTTTTATGGGGCTTTTAGCTACCCTAACATTCCCCCCTCTGAAGAGGTAAACCTAAAGTCTTTTAAGGATTAGATAAAAGCTCCCAAATACTTTTGACATTTTTGGCCTTTGGAATGGAGTATGTTGCTAAGAGGCCCAAGGACATTGTTTTAGCCAAGAAACTGGCTACTTTTCTTTGGGGTCTTTTTTTCCCTAACTGCCTAGCTAATTCCTACCTCCTATTCTTATCATCCTCTGAAGAGGTTACCCAACGTGCAGACAGGGAATTAGGACTCAGACTGCTCTGGCTTCTTCCATGCTGAACAGGGATGCAGAGTGAGGCAATTGGAGTACCCCTTCAGTGGGTGTATCTAAAAGACTCCCAAATTGCATAACTCTTATCTTTAGGAGG